CTGTACGAAAAGAAAAGAGAAACGGGGAATTAGAAAAAAACGGGGGGGAGAGAAAGGGGAAAGGGTTGGGGCTAAGTGGGGTGATGTGGGGGTGAGGGGGGTGTGGGGTGAGAGAGGTGGGGGGTGATGTGGGGGTGAGGGGGGGTGTGTGGAGGGGTAGGTGGAGTGGGGTCGGGTATATTATGCTCGTGGGAGTGAGTGAGGAAAAGTGTTGATTATGGTGAAGATGGTGGAGCTTTGTTTGTTGTTTGTCTTGTTAGTGGTGAATATTGAGCTTGATGGTGATGGTGGTGATGATGATGATGATGATGATGATGATGATGATGATGATGATGATGATGATGATGATTATGATTATGATGATGAGGATCATATTTGTGAAGATGGCCATGATGGTGATTATGATATTGATTTGACTGATTAAGTAGACAATGACAGAAAATATAAGAATCAGAGCTGAAAAAATATTCGAAACATCAGGATTACAATCATAATAACCCAAAGGCTACCACTATGACAAATACAAGAATAGTTACATTGATAAAAAAAAAACAGCAAAAGTAATAAATAGCACTTATCATCAAACAATAAAAAACAATGATGATCAATAACATTATGGACAAACATTCAATAACATTCAATGAGTATAAGTTCAAATATAATAAAAAAAAATGATCACACATTCTAATAATAAGGTTTTTGCAATCATCTAATTCCATCACTTTAGCATGACTAGTCTTTACGAGATAAAAAAAAAAAAGTGGGATAAATGGAGGAATGTTATTACGTGTAGCAGAGCCGACCTTTCGTGAGGCCATTGCATGAGACAAAACTCTACGGTCCGCCACGCCCTTCTTCACTACTAAAAGCCAAAGGGAGTTTCAACTCTTGCATAATGTTTGTTTGTGTTCATTGGTGTTGTTTTTATTTTTTTTTTGTTGTTTTGGTTTTCTGATGAGAACTTTATTCAGATATAATTAGTTTCGTTAAATATGTATCGGAGTGTTAAATTCCTTTACGAGAGTTTTATTTCACAGATTATCCCTTCTTTTTCCCTCTATCTTCCTAGCAACAGTATTAGAAGTGCTAATGTTGACCGCGTTGCATTAATGAAATCACACGCTGCAATATCGAGTCTGGACGCTCTAGCAACACCCCCCTCAAGATCAACAGTTTATGGAACAACCGTTTATTTTCTACCGTTTGATGCAGTAAATTATTTCCCAAGTTTATTTCTGTTCTATAACACGAACCTCACGACGGTCATGCATTTCGCTTCGATCCTTCTCTCTCTCTTTCATCACTTCTCTTCCTCTCCTTCTCCTTCTCCCAAGATCTGAATCTCTTTCCTTTCTCTCATTCGTTCTCTCTCTTCCTCCACTTCTCTTTCACTTCCTCTCCTTCTCCTCAAATCTATCTCTCTTTCCTTTTATCTCATTCTTTCTCTCTCTTCCTCCACTTCTCTTTCTTCTCGCCCTTTATCTCATTCTCTTCCTCCTTCCCTCCTTCTCTTCAAACCCCAAATTCTTTCCTTTCTTTTCTCTCATTCTCTTTCTCTCTTAAAAAATATCGATGCCTTTATCTCCCTTGCTTTTATATGTTATTTCCTTAACTTTAATTTGCGCTTCTCTATCTGTCTTTCTACCTGTCTGTCTGTCTGCCTGTCTCTCTCTCTCTTCTCTTCTTCTCTCTTTCTTTTTCATCGTCACTACATCTTTCAAAAAATAAGCAGATAAGAAGAGAGAGAGAGAGAGAGAGAGAGAGAGAGAGAGAGAGAGAGAGAGAGAGAGAGAGAGAGAGAGAGAGAGAGAGAGAGAGAGAGAGAGAGAGAGAGAGAGAGGAAAAGAAAAAAGAAAGAAAAAAAAAACACCATTTATCTTGCCCTTTCATGCAGTACATTACATCCCACAGCCTTAGCTTCCCTATCCATAACACGGCGCTTCTGACAGCCATACCTCTCGCTTCGATCTATGGCGGTCCAGATCTAAAGAATGGTCGAGTTAATGTTTTCTTCTATGAGGCATTGTCTCTTGACCCGCAGCCTTATTTCGTTGGATAATTTATTTCTGTAGGTTCTCTGTTTCTTTTTTTTTTCTTTTCTTTTTTTAGTGTGTTTTATTTATGTTTCGTTTCGATTGTTTGCTGCTATTTCATTTGAGTTTGTACGATTTGCGGTGAAGATATATGGGAAAGAAAGATATGTAGTTCGATTATTCTTATTCTTCATATATATATATATATATATATATATATATATATATATATATATATATATATATATATATATATATATACTGCCGCGATAGCTCAGTGGACTCCGACCCTCGTGGTCCCGGGTTCAATTCCCCGTCGCGGCAGTCGTAAAAAAAAATGCCTGCGCTCTGACTGCTGACTCGAGCCCGAGAAAACGACATATCGGCTTGAGAAGTCAGACGCAGGTGTCGTAGGGGAAGTCACCGCCGTGGCACAACCGCGGTTGATTAGGAAGGGCATTTAATCAGGCAAGGGTGACACTGCCATATAACCTCTCAATACTGAATTGGGAGAGGCCTATGTCCTGCAGTGGAATGAATGGCTGTTGAAAAAAAAAAAATACACACACACACACACACACGCATATATATGTTTATATATACATATATGTATATATTTCTTTAGCCTTTCAGATTATATTGAGATTCTTCGTTAGCACCTGATTTGCTTTTTTGCATAAACCGAGAAAAAAAAACAACAACATACTTGTAGAAAAGACTAATCTTATGAATCGAAACATTTCCTCCAAAATCCGACGCGTGTTATTTGGGTAAATCATCGTAGCGCGGCTTGCCTTCCTGATCCTTTTAATCTCTGAACACCTTCCTTCCCTGGCCTTTATCGACACCTACTGACCTTCTCTCACATTCATGCGAAGGTCTGTCTTTGACCTCTCCGTGACCTTTGTGCAATTTCTCTCCCTGCTTCTCCCTTTTATTGAAGAAAATAAAAGAGATATAATACCTCTGGTCCGTGATTTTTTTTCATTTTTTTATTCTTATTTTTCTTTTTTTTGTGTCTGGGTTAAATCCACAGCTATTGTGGTTCCTTATGATATTCTGACATGATTGAATACCTTTTATTTTCCACAGATTTTCATCGCGTCTGTATTCTTTTCTAGCTTCTCTTCTCCTTTGTTCGATTCATTATCATTATTCTCTCTCTCTTACGTCTTTCTTTGTCCATCGCTTCGAATATCTAAGCTCCTATTAAAAAGGGAGAGGGATAGGGCGAGGTAGAAAGACAAGGGGGGGAGAGACGAATGAGATTGAGAGGAAGAGCGAGTGAGAGAGAGAATGTGTTGGGAGAGTAAGAAGAACAGCAAGAAGAAGGAGAAGAAGAGGGGGAAGGAGAGGGAAAGGAAGAGGAAATGATATGTATACACACACACACACACACATATATATATATATATATATATATATATATATATATATATATATATATATATATATATATATGTATATATATATATATATATATATATATATATATATATATATATATATATATATAAAGAGAGAGAGAGAGAGAGAGAGAGAGAGAGAGAGAGAGAGAGAGAGAGAGAGAGAGAGAGAGAGAGAGAGAGAGAGAGAGAGAGAGAAATATATATGTATATTCATATAGATAGATAGAGCGATAAATAGATAGACAGAAAGATAGATAGATAGATAGATAAATAGAGAGAGATAGAAAGGAACAACGTAACCAGAAACTTTGCCACCTTCCCCCCTTTCGAGGAACTCTCAAAATCAGACATTTCATTCCTCACTCAAACCGAACTTCCATGTAAAACAGCTGTTCATTAAAGACTTCAAAAAGAAAAAAAAAAGTTACTTTAATGAGTTCTCTCGGGAGCAAGAAAACAGCCAGGAGAAGTAGGAGCGGCGACACCTCACAAAGACAAACAATACACAGAAGTAAGAACTGTATTGTCGCTTTATTGGGTGTGTTGGTAAACAGCGAACACAACTACATGCCTGTTGTCCTTTGTGACCCGTGGCGGAGCAGGTATTACAAAGGTGAGGGGTTTACACACACACACGTTCGAGTGGAATTGGTTGCGAACTAGGACACGCAAGCATGCACGTAGCTACATTGGAATATACAGATACGCACACAGACACATACACGTAAATACACAAACACGTAAACACACACGCACACACACACACACACGCACATATACACACAGGCACACACACACACATACGCACACAGACACACACAGACACACACAGACACACACAGAATCACACACAGACACACACACACACACACACACACACACACACACACACACACATACATACACACACACACACACACACACACACACACACACACACACACACACACACACACACACATACACACACACACACACACACACACACACACACCATAAAACACACATAAAAAAAGACAAAACAAGCGACCCCAAAGAAAAGAAAAGATAGTGACGACGGCAATTTTTTTTGAGATGTTGAAATTGCTCTCAGCGGGAGAGGGAGGGGGGAGGGGAAGGGGAGAGGTGGAGGGGGGGAGGGGGGGGGGAAGGGGAGAGGTGGAGGGGGGGGAGGTGGAGGGGATCCGGTTAAAGAAGAGTGATAATGGCTTCCACATTATCCATTACGTGGCTCGATTCACCTAAGCCTTACTCACGACGTACAATGGAGGGTTGGATCGTACGGATAATATTAATCTCCGTTTCCTTCTCTCTCTTTTGCTCTGATAGGGATTTTTTATTGTCTTATCTTTTTTTATTGTCTGAGTCTCTTTCTCTTCGTCGCTTTTTTTTCTATTCTTCTCTCTGTCTCTATATATATGATTGAAGTCACATGCACACGCACACATACTATATACATGCATATCTATCTCTCTGTCTATATACACATACATGTGTATATGTGTGTGTGTGTGTGTGTGTGTGTGTGTGTGTGTGTGTGTGTGTGTGTGTGTGTGTG